TTTTATTGCCAAAATACATAAATTAAAAAAGGAAAAAAAAAAAAAAGATGGAGCATGGGTAACAGATCAGTGCTAGTAGTGTAGATACAGAAATCACACAGTCAAGCCCTAAAGGATGGAGAATCTACAAGAGCAGACATTGTTTATAAGGAATAGACACTTGTTCATGTGAGGGATGGGGAGAGATATATAAAAAGAAACAAGTAGATATAAGTGCAAGAGGAATCTCACTCCTCACCATCACCCAATAACAGCTGCAAGGTGAGACTTTAGTGAGACTACAAGAGCTCTGAGATCCAACACAATCCTAAGGATTGGCGTATTTCATCACCCCACAGCAACAGGAGCTGCCCCACCAGCACACCGCCACATCTCAACTCCTGTACCTTGTGACTTCTGCATCTTATATCTGTCATACCTCCTTACTTCTGCTCCTCTCTCCCTAGTACCTAATGACTCACCAATACTCACATCAATTTTCTGATACAATATGAATAACCCAACTACACACCAGTCACTCATTTGGCGTCATCAGGTCACCTCACAGATCACTGGCATGCCTAGAGATTGGCATTGGGCCAAGGTCCCACCCTTATTCAATCAACCACAACCAGCAATATTAGAAGTTTGATCCTCTGGTCGGTAACACAGTACACAATGCTTGCATAAGGTACAGCATTAAGAATGGCTACAGGAACCCTGGCTGGTATGGCTCAGTGGTACAGCACCAGCCCTCGCACAGAAGGGTTGTAGATTTGATTCCTGGTAAAGGGGACATGCCCTGATTTCAGGCTCGATCCCCAATAGGGGACATGCAGAAGGCAGCCTATTGATTTTGTGCTCTCACATCGATGTTTCTCTCCCCCTCTCTAAAAGTCAATAAACTGCCCTGACCAGTTTGGCTCAGTGGATAAAGCGTCTCCCTGTGCGCTGAACAAGCCCGGGTTCGATTCCGGCCAAGGGCATGTACCTTGGTTGCTGGCACATCCTCAGTCGGGGTATGCAAGAGGCAGCTGATCGATGTTTCTCTCTAACTCTCTAGCCCCTTCCCTTCCTCTCTGTGAAAAATCAATAAAAGATATTTAAAAAAATAAATAAATAAAAATAAAAGTCAATAAACTATTACCCTAGCTGGTTTGGCTCAGTGAATAGAATGTCAGCCTGCGGACCAAAGAGTCCCAGGTTCGATTCCAGTCAAGGGCATGTACCTAGGTTGCAGGCTCCTCCCCGGCCTGGGCCTGGTCAGGGCTCATGCAGGAGGCAACCAATGTATTTCTGTCACATGAATGTTTCTGTTTTTCCCTCTCCGACTATCTCTAAATTTCAACAGAGAAATATCCTCAGGTGAGGATTTAAAAAATAAATTAAATAAATAAAAATAAACTATTTTAAAAAATGTAAAAATCAAATCATTTATTTTGTAACAAATATTAAATGCAGTGACTATTCACAATAGTGTTTTATCCTTGAACAATCTACCACATATGTTGAAAACAATTCTTTTCCATCTAAAACCAAAATATTCTTTCAATATAGGCATATCCCACAGAACGCCTACCTGGTTTTTGTTTCCTAATAGAAAAGACTCTTGGTGTTTAATATCCAAATATTATAGAAAATCCTAAAGTCTCAATACAAATTATTTATAGCCCCTGCTTAATAGGAAAAATATATACTGACATCTCAAAAACTCAAAACATTTTTAACAATGTTGAAAAAAAGTTCAGTTATATTGCAAATACAACTGGCAGAATCTCAGAAGCCTGTGTTCTTTGAAAAGGGAGGAAGTGTCAACCAAAAGATGTGCATCCTGGAGCAGATGGGGAGCAAAGAGACATCATCATGTTACTCATACAAAGCAGCTGTCAGTCTGATGACAGCAGAGTTGTAGTATTGTACATCCTAACACAGCAGGATGTTACCTTATTACTTAGAATTTTGTTTTCTTGCCTGGACGGTGTGGCTCAATGGCTGAGCATCTCAACTGAACCAGGAGGTCACTGGATCAATTCTCGATCAGAGCACATGCCCGGGTTATGGGCTTAATCCCCAGTGTGGGGTGTGCAGGAGGCAACCAATCAATGGTTCTCTCTCATCACTGATGTTTCTATCTCTCTCTTCCTCTCCCTTCCTTTCTGAAATCAACAAAGAGATATCTATATCTATCTATATATATACTAGAGGCCCAGTGCACAAAAATTTGTGCACTTGGGGGGTAGGGTCCCTCAGCCGACCTATGCACTCTTACAGTCTGGGACGTCTCGGAGAATGTCCACATGCTGGCTTAGGCCCGCTCCCTGGGGGATCGGACCCAAGCTGGCAGTCAGACATCCCTCTGGCAGCCCGGCAGTCCTCAGGGGATGTCCACTTGCCAGCGGGGAGCAAGCCTAACCTGCAGTCAGACATCCTTAGCACTGCTGAGGAGGTGGGAGAGGCTCCCACCACCACCACTGTACTGG